CTGTTAGTCCATTCTTGGGTTCTCTGATTCTGCTGCTGTTTTGTTCCTTCAGTTTTTCCTTTGTTCTTATACTCCACAGATGAGTGAAATCATTTGGTATTTCTCTTTCTCTGCTTGGCTTATTTCACTGAGCATAATACCCTCTAGCTCCATCCATGTTGTTGCAAATGGTAGGATTTGTTTTCTTCTTATGGCTGAGTAATATTCCATTGAATACATGGTTATTTTTATTTAAACAATCACCTTATCCTTTGAAACAATTTAAATAATACGAAAAAAGTTTTTATATTTGCCCATGTAGTTATCATTTCCAGTGTGCTTCATTCTTTTATATAGCTCCAGGTTTCCATCTGGTATCATTTTTATTCTGTCTGAAGTGCTTTCTTTAACATGTATTATAGTGCAGATCTGCTGGTGATTAATTGTTTCAGCTTTTGAATGTCAGAAAAAATATTTCACCTTCATTTTTTAAAAGATAGTTTCATTGGGCATAGAATTCTAGGTTGACTGTTTTTTTTTCTCCACAGTACTACTTTAAAGATGTTGCTTTTCCAGCATGCATTATTTCTAATTAGAAATCTGCTGTTATCATGTTTGTTCCTCTGTATAGGATTGACTGCTCTGGCTGCTTTTATAATTTTCTCTTTATATCTGATTTTAAAAATTTGATTGTGATATGCCTTGGCATAGTTTTTTCTGTTTCTTGTGTGTGTGGTTCACTGAACATTGCATCTGTGGGTTTATAGTTTTCATTATATTTGATGTTTATTCAACATTATTTCATCAAATATTTTTTTCTGTCTCTTCTCCCCCCACCACCTCCTCTTCAAAGATCCTAACTACATGTGTATTTGGTCACCTGAAGTCATCCCACAGCTCACTAATTCTGTTTTTAGTTTACTTTCCAGGATTTTTCCTCTGTGTTTCATTTTGTGTAGTTTCTATTGCTCCATCTTCAAATTCATAATCTTTTCTTTTGTGCTATCTAATCTGTTCTTAATCCCATCTAATATTTTTTCTTCTTTGTTTGAAGAATTCACCTTCTTCTAGCCTTATTGAAATGTGATTAACATCAAGCCAAAGCATATTTACTCAACAGATATATAGTGAGCACCTATTATTTGTAAGGCACCTATTATTGTGAGGCTATTTATATAGGAAGAGCATGCTTTATTCTTGGCAAGAATTTATGACCAATGAAACTAATACCAAGCATCTGTTTTGTGTGAGGCCACAGGCTGGGTTCTCCAGAAGCTATAGAGATGGGCAGAACTGACAATGACCATGGTTACTTGTCAAGGAAGGAAGCTGAGGATCCAACATGAGGAAAAATAGAGTGATTTAGATTCATTAAACTCATTCCCAGTCTTTTATCTGATTACCCCATGTGAAGATGCTGCAATAAAACTCATTTAAATTACAAATTCTTAAAATAATTTTTTCTTTAGGGCTTGAGAGTGGAGGTACTAAAAAAAGAGAGAGAAAGAGAGATTTATTTCCTTGACTTGCTTTGCCTGTACCTGCTTGGGAAAAGTGGAGCAACTAGGAGAAGACAGTAGAACTATGGAAGGTGTTCTGGCATGGATATATTCTATTTGGTGTCTGATGTCCTGAGATGGTTATCCTTGAAGGAAGACATGGCTCAAAGCAATTCTTTGAAGCATATGAAGACATTTCCTTGAAGCAACTCCCTGTCACCACATCCTTTGTAATACATGTGGTGCTAGAGTGACTACAAAATCTAGGCCCAGAATGAACAAAATTAAAAAATCTCTACCTGAAATGTTTTGAGATTGAAATAATGAACCTGTGTTAGTAAGAACTATAACAGCACTAAAAATCTGTCCCTAGTTAAGGCCCTGCTGGGAGGTTGGGGGAAAGCATATTTGTATCAGCTCTTGCTCATATTAAGAGGGCCTCAAGAGATATATAAAATGGGAAGGAGAGAAAAGTTTTCTTGTTTTATAAGTTGTCCAGGACTGGAATACTGTCCAAGAAACAAGATTTTAAATACTAAGAGGTGTCTATAGCAGATCTTGTTCAGCCTTCTCATTTCACAGATAAAGGGCACTTCCCAAAGTTGAATGGAATCAGCAGCAGGTCAGGAATGAGATTCTGGGTCTCCTGTCACCTTGAAAGATGTGTAGAAGTATCTTGGATTCAAACACTATAGGTATGTTTTTGACTCTTTCTGTTCCTCACAGATAACATTTGACAATAAGGCCCATAGTGGAAGAATTAAGATAAGTTTAGAAAATGACATTTCCATCAAAGAATGTAAAGATTGGCATATATCTGGATCAAGTAAGTGATGAATTTTACTGGTTTTCAAAATGGCTATTTAATAGTACAAAATGGTTATTAAATTACTGGTCCTAGGGATATGTGGAACATCAAATGAAAGAATCAGGCCATTCCCAAGTCCCTAATTCTCTGCAAGTAGATGAATTCATTGTATATATCTGATGTTTCTAGGCAATAGAAATGTTACTAATAATTGAAATTATTTTCCCTGACTTCCATGTGCCCTTAGCAACCAACTCTTTACTAAAATTGCTCACAATCCCTCCAGCAAAAAATTCACATATAATCAAAACTAATATTTACTGAGTACTTACTGCATAAGTTCCTCCACCTACATTTCAGTATTTTAAAATGTCCTTGAGACAGGCAGCATCCCTATTTTTACAAATGAAGAAACTAAGACTTAGAAGTGTCCATGGTCATACAAATCCTAAGTGATTAGGATTTGACTTGAAGCATCCCACACCTTTTATCTTCTACCCAGGTTAAAAAGTAGACGAAATGAGGAAAAGATGCATTCCTAGAAATACAGACACAAATTCAGGTATAGACTAAATACTATTGAGAATTTTGAACTGGAGAAAAATGACTAGAAAGAATTTACCTCATTTTATGGTCCCTTGTAAGTAACATAATGGTAAATTGTACTAGACTTAAAGATTAGGTCAGGGGTTCTTGGATTCTAGCAGAATCATCCCAGGCACTGCTTAGATATGATATTCCCAGCTCCATACAAAACAGTTCTTATTCATACTATACTTGGAAAAAAATGCTTTAGGGTTTCCAACTGGTTGATTCACTAGTTTCATTACTAGTGATAAGATAGTAAGAATAAATGAAATGAAATTTCTTTGTTCTAGTATTATTTTTCAATTAGGTAACTTCATATATATGAGACCCTTGAATCACAAATTTTATTTCAATCACAAAATTGTGTATGTGAAACACAAGCCTGTTTTGTCATCTGTAGACATTGTAATACTTCTCCATTATCTCAAGAATAGGGAAAAATGAGAGCATATAAAAATATCTGGCATATAGGATTTTTCTCAAATATTTGTTTCTTAATTTTTAAGTTTTTCTAAAGATGATTTAGACATTTTGGTAATAATAAGATGCCCCTTGGCCAACATTAATGGGATGTTTTGTTACAGAGATTTAAGTGCTTATCTTTATCGGTAGAAAGTAGTCTAACTTGTTAAATAAAGACAAACTCTGTAGCAGACCAGGCTATGGCTGAGACGTCTCTGTTGACTTGTCTCCACTCATGCTGGCCAGGACTTTGTATTTATGATTCTCCAGAAGCCCTGCATGGGTGGCTCTGCCTCATTACTCTGCTCTCACCTGAAACCTACTGCCCAGTTGGTGAGGCCTTCGCTTACTGTGCAATGTAAATGAGCCTCTCTTCTCTCCATCCCCCAACACAAACCTCCCTCGTATAAGAGCAGTAGTTCTCAAAATTTAGTGTCACCTAGAGAACTTGTGAAAATGCAATTTCTGATTCAGTGGGTCTAGAGTAAGGCTAGAGAGTATTTGCTTCTAACAAGTTCCCAAGGGATGCCAAGAACCACCAATATAGAGGAACAAATGCTGGAGACAGATTGCAAACATTTGAATCCTGATTCTGCTACTTACTGGCTGTGTAACCTTGGCAAGTTCTGTGACCTCTTTGTGCTTCAGGTTTCTATCTGCAAAGTGGGAATAATCATACCCACCTCACGGGGGTTGCTGTGAGGATCAAATAAAGTGCTTAGAACAATGTGTGGCATTGATAGATGGTAGCTATTATGCTTTATTTTCTTCATATCACTTGCCCCTATATAAGAGCATTTTGTTTATTTGCTTATTTATTTCATTGCTTCTCTGGCTGCAGTAGAAGTTCCACAAGGTTGATGGCCTTTTATATCTTGTTCACTGTATCCTCAGCATTTAGAAAACACCTGGCACAGAGTGAGTTTTAAATACATATTGTACACTTAGATAAGTATATTTTAATAGAATAGGCAGGGAAGCTAACTGTATTAAGAATAAAAGATCACAAGCTGATTGTTAAAGATCTTCGATGGTGTGATTTTTAAAAAGACTGAACTTTCTTTAAATCTAAGGGAAAGAATATTTATTAGGGCTCTTTTTCTTTGTTGCCTTGGTGGAAAGGATGCTTGGATTGCCCAAATTATTGAAAAGAAAAGGGTGAGGGATCCATATGAGGTCTGAAAATATTTCTGAAGGTTGCAAAAAGAAGAATTGAATTAATGAGGCATACCATATTTTTGGACAAGAGATTCAACATAATGAATATATCAATTCTCTCTAAATTAGTCTATAAATTTCACACGATCCTTTCCTCAAAAAATTACCAGTAGGATTTTTATCTGAATTTGACCATCTGATTTTAAACAATATATGGAAAAATAAACAAGCAAGAATAGCCAGCAAAAATTCCAGGAAAGAATAATGAGAGGAGTTTGTCTTAAGCATTGAAAGACATAGAACATCAATAGGGTAAGATATGGTACTTGAATATATACAATAATTTGATACCCAATAAAGATGGCATTTCAGATCATTGGGAATTACAGACTTGCTCTTTTGATTGGCAAGAATTAAAGATTTCTGATATCCAATGGTGAAGAAGATGCGGAGATACATGTAGGTATATAAATTGGCACAATCTCTTTGGAGAGCAATTCTTAGGATCTCCTTTTAGAAATATACATATGCCCTAATCCAAGAAATCCACCTTTATATATTAATTCCCCAAAAGAATCACTTGCACCTGTGCACAAAGAGGAATTGGAAAATCGTTTGTAGAAGGGAAAAACAGATGACAACCTCAGTATCCTTACAAGTAGAGAGTATTGTACATCTATATTGTGGTATGCAATGCAGCACTTAAAATAAATGAGGCTAAAAATGAAAAGAAGAAAATGATGTTGCCATATTAATGTCCCCCTACATAAGCAGGTAATCCTCTTTCCTTCCAGTTCAGAAGAACACTCATTACATGATGATCTTTGATGCCTTTGTAATTCTGACATGTTTGGCTTCATTAATGCTGTGCATTCGATCTGTGATTAGAGGACTTCAACTTCAGCAGGTAGGGGCTGTTGCTTTCAAGGAATGCTATGGACATTTTGATTGGTGGAGAAATTCACTCTGTCTCCCTCTTTTCCCTGAAGGAATATACCAAGTTTTTCCTCCTCTACTATAAGAAGGAAGTTTCTGTTTCTGATAGAATGGAATTTGTCAATGGATGGTACGTTACAATTATCATTAGTGACATATTGACAATCACTGGATCAGTTCTGAAAATGGAAATCCAAGCTAAGGTAATTTTTTTTCTATGTATGCCCTGTTTCAGATGTGTATCAATGGTAATGTATTTTTCCAGAATGGGAGAGTTTACAGAGTAAGCGATTTCTATCAAACATTGTATCAAGTGAATTTAAAATCTGTAACTGTAATTTTCTCAAGTCTAGCCAGGAAATCTCTCATGTAGACTTTTTACAAAGTGATACCTAAGCCTCTGCATCAGAATCATCTGGGTGCCGGGGGAAGAATTACCTGTATGAGAACTACTGACTCTGAACTTGAATCTGAACTCTGGGGACAGGGCCTATGGATTCTTACACACACCAAAATTCATGCACAGACTGGGGTAACTGAGATGAGAGGTGTTTTTGTTGTTCTTTCCAGAAATGCCAGAATCTTCAACAAAAAAGAATAGGGCTGAAAGAGAGTGTAAGGCCAAGACGCTACTGCCTGAGTACCTGTAGTTGCTTTCCTTTGTCCATTCAAGTTCAGGACGTTCAGGGCTCTTACTTATCCCCTTGATGTGCCACAAAGCTTTCTATTTTAAGTTAGGGTTAATGCAGCCTGGAAATCAACCCTCCCGCCAAAGCAAAACATTGAATGAAAAAACTAATATTATTCGAACTAAGTTTGTTCAAATTTGTATTTTTTTAGCCTTGACTACAACAAAGTGTGAGTATGAGCCACGTGGGGGACCCTATCATGGTTCCGATTCCTGGGCAGAGACCCCAGATGCAATGGCTCAGATAAGACAGGAATAGTTAGGGTGGGTTTTCCAAGTTGGCAAGTCACTCAGCTTCACACAATTAGGGACCCAAGTTCTTCCCATCTTGTTTCTCTACTGGCCATTAAGAGCTCACTCAGATGGTGTGATTGATGCCAGGTCACCTCACAAACAGGTTGCAACTGGTGGAAGGAAAGTCATAGTATGGCTGTAGCTCTCCCACAGTCTTACAGCCTTGGCTCAGGGACGGCAGCCTTCATTTCTGCCGTCATCCTGCTGGACAGAATTAGTTACATTTAACTGCAAGGGGTGTTGGGGCATACAGAGCAGGAATATGCCTTGGAAACTGAGAATGGGTTTGGGTTGACATTGAACAAGTGCTGCCATGTGCAACTGTAGCATTTATCACTGGAATAGAGTTTTAACTTTAAGGAAAACAAAAAGAGAAGTGAGAGGATTTGCAGCAAATCCCTATTTTTACCAACCTCGACTATGAATTACCTCAGTGAGTTCCTAATGATGTCCAGCAATCTTTCTACTGTTTTCTAGACCATTCCCTCCCCTGTCTTAGAGATGATCATTTCATATGTTTTCGCCCCTCCTGAAACCTGTAACATCCCTGCCCATCCTAATTCTCAGTTGATGACTTTCCTTCCTGTTTCACAAAAACAGCAGAAAAGAATAGAAATTCCACAAAGTCTCACTTCCTTCATCTCCCTACCTGCGTCAGTCCTCAATACACAGCCTTTTCTCTGTTGCTGTGGATACATTCCTCAGGCTGCTGTCCTCCCCATGCCTACCAAATACTGTCTCTGCTTGCTTACTCAAAGGCTTGGCTCCAGCTACTCTTCTTCTTTTCATGTGCATCATCAATTTCCCATTCTCCACCACATTATTTCTATTAGCAACTTTTTTTCACTTTTCTGAAAAGACAAAATCTCAACCTATTTCTCCCTCCAGCTAATTCCCCATTTCTCTGCTTCCCTTTATATAGCAAAAGACCTCAAAAGAGTAGTTAATCTCGTTTCCAATTCTGTTTCTTCCATTCTATCTTATATCTGTTCCAATCAGGCTGCCCTGCCACTCTATAGAAAGCATTCTTTCCAGTGACCTCCTATATTGCTATACTAATTATCAATTATCAATAATCAATTATTTATCCTCTCCTTGACCTATCAGCAGCGTTTAACACTGCAAACACTCCCTCTTTGTTGTGCAGTTTGTTGCTGTTCTAATCACTGACCTGGTTTTCATCTTCAGTCACAGGCTGGTCTTCTGACTATCCTTCTCTGGTTTCCTCCCATCTCTCTTGTATTAAAGTGTTTTAATATCTTTTTTTCTGCTACTGTCTTGGCGATCTCATCCCTTCCCATGGCTTTAAATAGTATCTGTTTGCCAATGATTTCCGAATCTATATTTCCAGCTTGGAATATTTCCCTGAGCTCCAGTCTCAAATACCCAAATGTCTATTCCACATCTTCATTTCAATGTCTACTTGGCCTCTCAAATTTGACATACCTAAATCAGAACTCCTAAAATATCCACCTCCACAGTCTAAACCTGCTTGTTCATGACCTCTCTAACTTCAGCAGTGGAAACTCTTTTCATTGCTCAAGACAACAACCATAGATTCCGCCTTTACTCTTCTCTTTTGCTAATCCTCTCTCCTCTGCATCAAATCTAAGAGAAAATTCTATTGATTTACTTTCAAAAACCACCTCCTCACTTCCCTATTCCCTGTTTGACCCAAGCCATTGTCACCTCTTACCTACGGGACTGCAATCGCCCACCATCACTCTGCCCACCATCTGCTCCCAACCAAACAGCCCACATTTGATCGTTATCACTCCTGTTCAAAGCTCCCCACTCCCTATTCAGAGTAAAAGACAAAGTTGTGAAATGTCCCGTGAGGCCTGGAATCACCTGCTCCTGCCTCTGTGAGTCCGTGCTCGCTCCCATTGCTCACTCCAGCCTGACTCATTGTCTTGCCGAGCGCCCTCCTGCCTGGCGGCCTTTGTACTTACTGGTTGATGTACCTGAAACACTCTTCTCCTAGAGTTTTTGCTTGGCTTGCCCCCTGACTCCCCTCAGGTCTTTGCTCCAAGGCCTCCTTTTCAGATCACCCTATTTAAAATGCAACCGCTTAGTCATTCCTTACTGCCTTCTCAGAATTTTCCCCTCAGACTTACCACCAGCTAAGGTACCAAGGGTTGTGTTCATGTATTTCTGCCCTTTCTCCCCCCCTCCTGCCCCCACTAGAATATGAGCTTCATGAGGGCAGGGAATTTTGTCTGTTCACTGCTTTGTCCATAGCACTTAGAGCCTGCCTCATAGCGACCCAATAAATATGTTGTGCTCAGCTGAATTTCTGCCATATAATCTGATTATTATTTTGCATTGTGCTTTAGAGTCTAGCGAGTTATGATGTCTGTAGCATACTTCTTGGGACCTCTACCATGCTTGTGTGGCTTGGAGTCATCCGATACCTCGGTTTCTTTCAGAAGTACAATGTAAGGAATTGCATCAATCTCCATGATGTTGACATTTCCATCTTTCAAAGTTATTACATTGCTTTGGCTGAAGGGTGAAGGGATCCTAATGACCTCTCTTTATCTTCCCAGCTCCTTATTCTGACCCTGCAGGCAGCACTGCCCAGTGTCATCAGGTTCTGTTGCTGTGCAGCTATGATTTATTTAGGCTATTGCTTCTGTGGATGGATTGTGCTGGGCCCTTACCATGATAAGGTACCAATAAACATTTTTTTCCTAGTATTAGTAAGCTCCTAGCATAGTGCCAGTGGCTTATTATCCTTTTAAAATGAGCTCCCTTCATTTTGTGATTCAGCCTGAAAATGTTGAAAGTATTATATCTGTTGCATGCTTATAAACTAGTGTGACCAGCTTTAGATAATTGATTGACTCAACTACTTCAACTCACTTTGTGGAATATGTCAGATAATTAAGTCCTTTTTACCACCAGAAAAATCAAATTTAGTCAATTTGATTCATGAATATATATTACAGTAAGCTATTTGGGTAAACCTTGAAATGTGACTTTATTGAAAAAGTAGTATGGGGAGAAACTTGTAGAAATACTTGAAAACTTTGTTACCAGAGTTAGTCTTGACTATAATTTCACTATCTTGAAAGAATGAATTTTTAAAATGAAAACTAAGACCATGCAGGTTGGGACTTGGGTATCTCTGCAGAAACATTTCAAGGACCTCTTTCTATGGAGGTAAAAGGGAGGGTAAGACTGGACTCAGAAAAGCCCTGAGCTTGCAGACCAGCCCGTCTGCTTCGGTTCAGCTGCTCCTCTTAGGAACAGTATCAAGAAGAGGCTGCCTGTTCCAGAAACACAGCAGACTCATACATGCTGTATCTCCAGGCAAATGCTGATAGTTACCTCAGCTTATTGGTTTGCAAGGGTAACTTGGGATATCCAGTTCCCCTGTTTTTAATATGGCATTATGGATGAGTCTCCAGTGGAAAAGAACATGGAAGAAAGTCAACTGTTCTCTTTTCTTTTTTCAGTTCCGTTCTCTGAACATTGTCTCTGAGTGCCTTTTCTCTCTGATAAATGGAGATGATATGTTTGCCACATTTGCAAATATGCAGCAAAAAAGTTACTTGGTCTGGTTGTTTAGCAGAATCTACCTCTACTCATTCATCAGCCTCTTCATATATATGGTTTTAAGTCTTTTCATAGCGCTGATCACTGATACATATGAAACAATTAAGGTAGGTTCAAGAGCCATAAGTACAAGCATTTTTTCCAGAACTTGTAGAGTAGCAATAAAATATAGTTCCTAAAGGGGAGGAACACCAGTGGAAAGTTAATTATTTTAGACTAGAAAAGGACTTCAATTTTAAATACTGAGAAACAGAAACAGAGAAATAGAATTCTATAATGTTGAAAGTTGATCTCTAAGTAATTTTGTTTTTTCAAACAAGTCTTCTAACCTTTTATTAGAAATATAAGGACCAGAGGGTATTGGCTGAATGAAACAGATGGCATTTCAGAAAGCCAAATTGTTATAGGGACCTTTAAAAATCCAATTTTTACAAAGAAAAAACTGACCTCTCCATTTGGAGTGTGCTGTAACTGAACCTGTTACCTTTTTTGTATTGAAGTATAGTCGATATACAATTTATATTGGTTTCAAGTATACAACACGAACCCATTACTCTTTGCAAAGCCCTGCATGAGACCTGGTTTCCAGAACAGTAGAGGGGTCGATATGACAAGCAATAGCCATGTATGCTTTATACAGTCAGAAGCATGATTTGAAAAGCTGTTATCATTCTTATTGTCACTCACATGGGATATTTTAAGAATCAGTTTTAAGCCCTTTGAAATATGGAAAGGCAGAGTAAATGTCCATATATACTTAAATTTCTGATAACCTTATACTATTAGGTATAAAACTGGTATAGACACTTCCACTTGGGGACTTTTCTTTCTGGGTATGAGATGGGTAATGAAACTTGATGCAGTTTGAATGTTCTTAGGGATAAAGAGAAAGCCATGAAGAGTTGATAGGTTATGAGTTGATAGTTATGAGTAGCTTGCTCATGAAGTCAGGGCCAGACTTCATTTTTACTGAATCAGATTTTAGGAACTTGCTGTCCTTAATACTTGCTTGGCCAGGTATGTGCTTAGAGTCATTAAGGTGACTGGGAATGAATGTAGTTGTACCTGTCCAAATCCCTCCCCATGGTGCTCTAAAAATTCACTACCTTCAACTCTACACATAGAGAACTATGTTACTCAAGGGTAACATCTGACTTCCCAAAAGTAACATGCCTTAGACTGTTGACACAAGCCTTAGACTCATAGTTTACATATTTACCTCTTTCCATAATAACCAAATGGGCAAGTTATTTCTGATGCTATCTGGGGTCAGGACATATTCCAGAGATCTTAGATCCCAAACTGATATTAATACAAGGCCCTTAGACAAACCTGTCTGTCTGGAAGAGAGACTCCAAAAGGGAAGTGCAGGCTGGATTCTCCCTGGAAGAAGGGCTCACCCTCAGATCCAACATGCCTTTTTGGGGTTGAACCAGACCCACAAAAGAGAGCCAAAGTGAGCCCTGAAGAATCTTAGACCTACTTTACCTTAGTGGAACCTAAAAATTGCCCCAGAGGCTGTATCTCCCTAAAAATACTTTGGAAGGGATTAGCTTCTCCCTCTAGAGAGATGCCCTACCTTGCCAATGATCTATTTTGAATTTGGAATAAAGCTGTTTCAAGGGACTTATTACTGAGAGCTTTTTTTATTCTTCTGTATAGCATTACCAACAACATGGCTTCCCAGAGACTGACCTGCGTACATTTATATCAGAGTGCAAACATCTACCCAATTCTGGAAAATACAGATTAGAAGATGACCCTCCAGTATCTATAATCTGCTGTTGTAAAAAGTAGCTATCAGGCTAATCTGTGCTCTCAAGGGAAATAAAGGGGGCTGAGTTGGGAGACTGTATAGATACTTTAAGATCAGGTGTAATGCATTCAAAGACTAATACTATTTTGAGCAAATTGATGGCTATAATCCATTAAGAACTATGTTTATATTTTTAAAAGTAATATTTAATGTCTTTGTAGCTTTATGTTTGGTTTATTTAAAAAACAACTAACCTTAATGAGGGAAGCTTTCTTGTTTATTTTGCCATAGCTTTAGAATGGCCCTCTTTCCTCTAGCTTTTACATTTTTTCTTCTAGCTATTCTGACTGTGCTGTGTCATCAGTGGAAAATAATGCCTGGTTTGACTTCAGATAGCTCACTAACCCTGGCCTGGACCACTCTCAGGGTTCCATCCCCGAGACAGAGGTTGATTGCTATATATCCAGTAATCATTGCATTTTAAAACCTTCTCTTAAAGGGTAGACTAAGCAAGCAAGAACCACCACCAGGTAACAGCCTAATATTTGATTCTGAAGGACAACTGTTACCTGGCTGCTTTTAGTTGTGGAAAGGACTGGGTTTTTAAGCATTCGTGT